TCCTATTCCTTACAAAGGGAAAAATCCTAAATCAGTTCACATCTTAGAGGGCAATTTCCCTAGTACTCTCTCAAACTAAACACACTAATTCATAAGCCAAACAATCTAAAACCCTACCATTCAATGAGATTCCTCAATTAAACGCCTAATTATCTTACAGTCCACCTCGGCTTTGTGTCTGATGACCTCCCCTGATTGTATCAGAAGCCAACGCGCCCAGCCGTGTCTGAACACCACTTCTCTTTCCTGACTTCTTTACTTAACACAGTGGTTCTCACTTGGCTGCATATTATCATCTCTGGAGAGCTTAAGAACATCAGACGTCAGGCTATACCCCAGACCAAGTAAATCAGATGGGTTTTTCCCGGAGGGGTGGGGAAGCTCGGGTGACAACAATGTTGTGGCCTGGCCCCTCATGACTCACGGAGCAGTGCATAGGGGCTGCCTGGGAACATGTTACAGCTTCAGGACCCACCTCAGACCCCACCAGATAGAAACTTTTTTTTTTTTTGAGACAGAGTTTCGCTCTGTTGCTCTGGGTATAGAGTGCTGTGGTGTCACAGCTCACAGCCACCTCAAACTCTCAGGCTCAAGTGAAACTCTTGCCTCAGTCTCTGTAGGAGCTAGGACTACAGGTGCCCTATATAACACCAATAGAAAATAGATTTTCTGTTTTCAGTAGAGACAAAGTCTCTCTCTTGCTCAAGCTCCTGAGCTCAGGCCATCCTCCCCTCCTGCCTCAACCTCCCAGAGCACTGGGATTACGGGTGTGAGCTACCACACCCAGCCAACTTTCAAATATTTTGAACAATATGCCAGTATAACTCATAGGCATATAGGACACCAAAAATAAAAATTAGTGAGAGGGTTCAATATTGACTACTAGAATGGGCTTTCCTTACCAATGGAAATCTTCAAGTGGCTTTCAGCAATGTTAGAAAGGTACTAAGCTACGTCTAAACTCCCTTCTAAAGCCAAGATGCCACAACTTTGTTATTTATAATGTTTAAGGTGTTACTATAATATACTTATAGAAAGGGTGCCATTTTCATAATCTTTTAAAAATTGGTCCATCTTTAAGAATGAATTTGAAGTATTCACAAAATTTAAGGAAAAAAAACCCACAGTGAGTACCACTCCCTGTTTGCTACGCCGTTGTTAGTGGACTGTGAGTTTAAATGTCCACACTCCATCACCATTTCCTAATTCTGGGCTTGAAACCCCTGGTGGCTGCAGCAGTACCACCCTGGGGTGCACTCTGAGATGTGTGGGAGGGTGTCTTTCATTCAAACCCTATTTAAATGGAAGCCAGATGCTTCAGTGCTGAGGTAGAAGACACTCTGGTTTTTAAAGACACATTTAAGAAAGACACAACTATATACTGTTTGCTGAAAGAATCCTTGCTTTCCTGTAGGTAAAGCTATCCTATCTCCGGGAATCATTTACAGATTTCTGGGCTGTGGCATGCAGAATCTTTTATGCATTTCTGGGTTTGGGCTGAGAAAAACTAGGGGCAAGCAAAAGCAGCAGGACTCAAGAAGGAAAATTCAGCTGCAATATTCTTTTTGCTTTTGCTGTATCTGGATTCGTATTTGATAACAACAAAAAAGCACTCCTTTTTTAATTAAAAAAAAATTTTTTTTTTTTGAGACAGTCTTACTCTGTCACCCTGGATAGTGTCATGGTATCATAGCTCACAGCAACCTCAAACTGTGGACTCAAGCGATCTTCCTGCCTCAGCCTCCCAAGTAGCTGGGGCTGCAGGTGCCTGCCACAACACTCTGCTATTTTTTCTATTTTTAGTAAAAATGGGAGGTCTCACACTTGCTCAGGCTGATATTGAATTCCTGAGTTCAGGTAATTCACTCACCTCTCTGCCTCCCAGAGTGCTAGGATTACAGGTATGTGTCTAATCAAAAAATCTCTCTTGCTAGAAAATGTTCTTCTTAGCAAAGTATCTCAAGAATGTAAGAAAAAGTATCCAATGTACTCAGTCCTATCATGAAACTAATTTATAGCTTCCATATGAAAGCTATAACCTAATTATAGCTTAAGAATATGGGGAGGGGGGAGGGAGTGAAGGGGAATGGATGGGTAGAGGGAGGATGATTGGTGGGATCACCTCTATGGTTTATCTTACAAGGGTACAAGTGACTCTTTCTAAAAGTAGAATATAAACGTCTTAACACAATAACTAAGAAAATGACATGAAGGCTATATTAACCAGTTTGATGAAAATATTTCAAATGGTTTATGTAAACACCACACTGTACCCCATGATTGCATTAATGTACACAGCTATGATTTAATAAAAAGAAAAATCTCTCTTCATAATCTGCAATATCAAGGAAAATTTAACTGCCATTTTTTTTCTTTTTTGCTTTTACCATGTCTACACTGGTATCAAATAACAACGAAAAATCAGTCTTAAGAATTTGTAGTACACTATGCAAGTTTTGCTTAAGGCACAATGGGCTTTGGGGCACTGTAGAAGTCTATAGCGCTTACTTCTACAGCAATTTACAAAGCACATTTCGTAACACCACAAAATACTATTACCATCAACCCCAACTTCCAGAGACCTGGGCAGCTGGGCAGAGGCAGACCTGGAATCCAAACCCAAGCCCTTCAAGTTCTTTCTGCCAGGGCTCAGTGCCCAAGGACAGACCAACCACATACCTAATTCCACAGCCTCTTGAGTGGAGAGGGAGCAAAGAACACAGCAGAAGCTGGCACCTCTTGACTTGAGGGCAGGCTAAGAGGGCCACCTGACAGCAGCCAGCAGGAGGAAGCAAAAGGACAACCCCATCCAGGAGCCAGGAAAACCGAAGCTGGGCACCTGTGATACAAGTCAGCAGCAAGACTGACCTGACAGCTGGGCTTTCTGTTATCTGTTTTGTTACAAACAGCTTTACGGACCGGGGGAGCTGCTTTAGTAAACATTTCTTCCCATGATTGCCCTAAGACCAGAATATCAGAGATGTCTGTCATTCTGGTCAGTTAAGCTAAGTCATTGTTTGCCTTTCCCTTAGTTATTTCAGGTATTTCTTCTATTTGATATTCTGGACTGTGTTAGAGGCTGGGGCAGCCGTGGGGCAGCCAGCAGACAAATCCCTGCCCCAAGCTGCTGACACTCAATACAGAGTATGGTGGGAGGCTCTCAACTCCAAGCTCCAGGTGAATGTCAGGTGTGAAGCCCACCTGGAGAGATGGGACGGACCTCTCAGCCCCCATGTTTCCAAACCAGTGACCAGAGCCCAAGGCAGGGAGCTGAGTTTCCACTTTCAGAATGTGCTGATGATCATTAAAGGAGCAAATTATAGAACTTGTATCAGTACAAAGAAAGGAACTATTTAACACTAAGAGGTAAGAGTTGATAATTTTTTCTCTTAGAAAATGGGTAACTCCATTCTTGAAAACAGAGTCTGTAACTAACACAGCAGCCAAATGCAGTTCCAGATAAGAGACACAGTCTGAGGCTTTGTTGTCATACCACAGAGGTAGGTGGCTGCAGAACTGTGAAATGTTTTAACAGGAGCCGTGCTTCTTTATTCTAACTTTGAAGAGCCTGTTCAAAATGCACAGCTTGGGAGTTTAGCAGAAATCCATGTGCTAGCCTAGGCATGGGCAAACTCCGCCCCCCCCCCAAAGGACAGGTAGTAAATATTTCCTTGTGGACCATAGGGTCTCTATCTTGGCTAGTCCATTCTGCTTTTGCACAGAAAGTAGAGCCACAGACAGTGGCTTCCTAGATTACCACTTGTGTTCAGGGTCAGATACACGCAGATGGGGAACTCTTAATAATCTACTCCAGCTTTCTGGTTTTATTGCTTAATGTTGCAAAGCTTTGAGGAGTGCAGGTTATCCCCACAGCCAAATCTTCCATCTTGCAACCTCTTGGGGTTATTCCCCCAGCCTAGAGATGATGCTCTGGGGCTTCGTGTGCCCCCCATGTTCACATGCCCCCTAAAAACTGCCATACTTCTAGCTCATACCCTCATCTTCCCCTATCCTCTAATTCACAATACGCCAAAAGCCCTGATAACAAAAGCAAACCAATCTTGTACAACTCTTTATTAAAACAAAACCACTGTTCATGATTCTAAGAAAGATGTTTACAGAAGAGCCTGCTGTTGGCCAGGCACAGTGGCTCATACCTGTAATCCTAGCACTCTGGGAGGCTGAGGGAAGAGGATCCCTTGAGCTCAGGAGTTTGAGACCACCCTGAGCAAGACTGAGACTCCCATCTCTACTAAAAATAGAAAAACTGGCCAGGCAACAGTAGTCCCATCTACTCAGGAGATTGAGGCAGGAGAATCGCTTGAACCCAGAAGTCTGAGGTTGCTGTGGGCCAAGCTGAAGCCATGGCACTCTAGCTTGAGACTGAGACTCTGTCTCAAAAAAGAAAAAGAAAAGAAAAAAGAAAAAAATAATATCCCATTTGACCGCCCATGTCTGATGCATGAGGCTATACAGTGTGGCTATCTACCACACAGTGGCCAATAATAACTAACATCTGGAAAAGCTACAGTAAAAACCTCCTCTGGCCTGGATATTATACAGCTGTGAAAGAGACAAAGGCATTTCCCTAAAGGGGATTCCGCTGCATCATCCAGCAAAGCTGGAGGTGGGGCAAGGGACAAAGGAAATCATCCATCCAACAAAGAAAGGGGAGCATTCAGTGTAGCACTGTCTTAGGGATAGAGAGGGTTGAGTCTGAACTTGATGTTCAACATGACCACCAAATCAAGTTGATATACTTAACTTTTTCTTTAGTGTCATGGCATTTTAATAATAATTCAACTTTTTAGAACATATATACTATCCGAACTGGCTTAGTAGAGCTTAACTCTTGCACTGCAAACCCTTTGGGGAAAGAAATATGCACAAGAAACTTTGTAGCCGTGTCAGTGATGATCAAAAGCCTTGTTAACAGGCATTGCGGTGGGCATTTTTAACCCAATAGGATAATTTTTAAAGTAAAAACAAGATGAACTTACCTGTAGAGTTTCAGATGAAATTAAAGCACTAGCTAAAGTCTTTCCTCTTCTGTCTTCCATGCTTTAATGAAAACCCTCAGATTTGCTGTGAACCACTGAAGAGAACAGAGAAAGCAGCTCGTAAGTTAACACTGAGCGACAGGCCACCTATACTCAATGTTCTCCAGCTTCAGCATGCTCCAAGACCATCTCACGCTCTAATGTCGGATATTTGAGCACTGTTTTGATAACCGATATTATTTTCAGGGCTGGAGCTACTCAGTGGTCATTGATTTAAATAAACCTTTTATGGAGAAAAAAAAAATGCCATAGAATCTCATCTCTTAGTCCTAAACAGTTCCCATCTCCGGACTGATGCAAGTTCAGCAACGTGCACTTTTATCGGGCATCTGAGCACAATTCTGAGTGCACACTCAGTTCCTTTCCTTAAGCCGCCTGCAGAAACCTAAAATACAAACTGTTACCAGTCGAGACGATAAACCAAATCTCCCTTACCTCTGAAACAGAAGGAAAAAAAATGAGATGGTTTGGGTTTGGTAGTTTCCTGAAAAGCAGCCACATCGTAAACACAGGCACTCTGTGCAAAATACACCGGCGACAGTCACCTCTGTCCTGCAGTCTCCCCCTCAGCCCAGCACCGAAGAACGGACGCTGCACACAACCTGCGCTCGCTCCGGGCACCATCCCTCACTACTTGCAAAAGTGAGACCTCGTTGCTCCTTTCAGATTTCTTTTAAAATGCCCCGTATGCTCCCTAAGACCGCCTCTTATGAATCCTCTAGCCCTAGCCCCTAGAGATTTCCTCCCGGCTCTGTGCGATTCGCCCATCCTCTCCTAAGGCCCATTCCCTCCCCGTCCCTGCGGGGAGCAGCCGCCCACATTCGCCCCCCACCCCCGGCCCTCACCCAGCGCCCAGGGTCCGCGTCGCACCCCGGCCTGTCAGGGATCCACCTACACCGCAACCGTCCCCATCTCCTCCCCAGCACGGCGGCGACCGCGGCCGGACCCCGCCCGAGGGCGAGGCTGGCTGGAGAGATGCGGGCCACCCCGGCAGCACCGCGCCCTGGGGCGGGGCGGGGCGTCCACCCGCGGCCCGGCCTGGCCCGCTACGCGCCCCGCGCTCGCCCGCGTCGCCACGGCCCGCCGGGCCCGTCCGCGCTCACCGGTGCCGGGTGGCCGCTGGGCGCCCAGGCCCGAGTCCCAGGGCGCGGCCGCTCGCCCCCCGCGCTCCGGACAGGGCCTGCGGAGCGGGTGGCGCCTCCTAGCGCGGTGGCCCAGGTCCCCGCGTCCCAGGACCGCGCGTTCCGGGTAGGGCGGCTCGCTGGCCACGCCCGCCACCTCGGCGCGGATTGCGGCCCAGCCAGGCCCCGCTCCGCACTCACCTCGCGCGCGCCGCGCCGCCAGCTCCCGCCCCGCGCGCACACGCGGCCCCCCGCAGCCGCACGCGTGCCCGGGTGCGCGCAGACCACGCGCCCCTCGCCCGCACGCGCGGCCGGCGGTCACCTGGCGCTCCGGGCGCGGTGCTGTCCCGGACGCGCTCGCAGACGAGGCTGGCCAGGGTTAGACAACTTGCAGCCGTTCTCAACCTGTGGGTCGCGACCCATAGCAACTGTATTAAAGGGCCGCGGCATTAGGAAGTTTGAGAACCACTGATAGGGGAAACTTGGGGCTGGAACTTAGGACCTGCTTCTTCCCCCACCCACCCACCCCCTTGCCATCTGTCCAAGCTGCGCAGACGGGTGGTCTCCAGGCCACCCGGGAGGAGCTGTCTTGTTAAACTCCAGACAGAGCTAGTTAGGAAAGGAGAAAGCTTTGTTCTCACAGAAGAAATGCATGTTCTTGTTTCACAACCGGCAGGGAATGAAGGGTGGGGTCAAGGCAGGGTACCATGGTATGTGTGTGGACAGGAGTCCCAGGGAGTCGCGCTGTCATGACTACCTCTCTAAGCTGTGCTCTTTGTGGGGGAGGTGGCAGAGTTTATTAGAAGCAATCCTTTCATTCCTCTCTCCGCGCCCCTGAAATACTGTTGTCAGACAACCCTGCCCGGTCAGGCTCACACCTGTAATCAGTCCTAACACTCTGGGAGGCCAAGGCAGAAGGATCGCTTGAGCTCAGGATTTTGAGACCAGCGTGAGCAAGAGCGAGACCCCGTCTCTACTAAAAATAGAAAAACTAGCTGAGCGTTGTGGTGGGAGCCTGTAGTCCTAGCTATTCAGGAGGCTGAGTCAAGAGGCTGTGAAGTGTGACACCATGGCATCCTAGCCTGGGGCATCTGAGGGAGAGAGAGGGAAAAGGAGAGGGTGAAGGAAGGGAGAGAGAAAAGGAAAGAAGGAAGGCAAGAAAGAAAAGAAAGAGAAAACACAGTTCCCCCTTCTGATCATTTGCCCAAGACACTGTGAACAGCTTGGCCCCAACCTCACCACATGAGAAGTTCAAAGACCAGTTCAGTGGACACCCATATACTGTCCACCTGTCCAAGATGAAACCACCTTAACTGTTGGCTATGATTGCGTTCCTTCTCCTAAATACTCTGCATTTCCTAAGAGTAAAGGCATTCCTTTGCACACAATACCATTATCACACGTAAGAAAGACAATTCATTTAAGGATATCACCTAATAGTCCATTTTCAAATTTCCCTAATTGTCAAAAAAAAATCTCAGGTATTGGGTTTGTAGAAAGATGGTCTAGTCCAGATTCTCATATGCACAAAAGAAAAAAGAAAAAAAAGATTTGCATATGGCCTTTGTTACGTTTGTCTTTTTAAGTGTAGAACAGACCCCCACCTTTTGTGTTTTCATGGCATGAACTTTTTGGTGTTTGTTTATCTTTTTTTCCTGGTGTTATATTTTTTCCCATTGTTGTTTGACTTTTCTGTTGGCTTCCAGGCTTCCTATGAAGGGCCGGAGGCATGAGTGAGTAGAGGACCTGAATCCTTCAAGGTCGGGCAGGGCTCTTCCCATTGTTTCCCACCAGGGAGACCATGTATTAAATATGAAATGCATACCTGTCACCTATTAATGACCACCAGTGTAAGGAGGTGTTCTCTAGATTTCCTAATTATAAAGAACTATGAAAAACGTTTCCCTTTTGTGGTTAATGGGTAGTCTTTCAAGTGGAGACTTTGCAACTCTTTGGTGGAGAAAGTTAAATCTTTGCAAGGAAAAGAGAAATTATACAAGATGACTGTGCAAATAAGATAAACAACACTCTCACAAGATGTCACGTAAGGGGAAGTGTCCCCTGGGATGGAAGGGTGAGCTAACACGACCAGCCCCGGGTATGAACACGAGTGTGTGGGAGCTCATCTTGGACTCGGTCAACCATGCAAGTCGCTGTTAGAGGCACCAGGGGCAGGTCACTGAACAGGACAGACAAGGACCCTGAAGATCCATGGTCTTCGGGGGTGACACAAGTAGGCAAGATCACTTCTGAGGGGCTGTAAGTGCTGTGACGGTGACAGGAGGGGGTGTGATGGAGAGTGACTCTACAAGCAGGCTACAGGGGTGACTAAAACCTCTGAGGAACCACTGAGATTGTTAGAAAAAAAATCTCTTCAGTAAGAACTTTTAATTGGTTGTTCCTTCTGCTCTGCCAGGTGGCAGTTGTGAGCCTTTCAAGATAAATCCATTCACTTGGATGGGTAGAGTAATGATCATCTACAATTTACATCAGGGGTCCTCAAACTTTTTAAACAGGGGGCCAGTTCACTGTCCCTCAGACCGTTGGAGAGCCAGACTATAGTTTAAAAGAACAGGCAGCGGCTAAGCAAGACAGGCAGTGGCAGCAAAAACACCTGGAGGTAGATAAATGTCCTTGGTGGGCCACATGTGGCCCGCGGGCTGTAGTTTGAGGATGCCTGATTTACATCCTGCTGTCCAGAACTTAGTCACATGGTACATCTTGCTGCCAATGTTGGTGACTGTGTATATCCAGCTGAAAACTACTGGCACCCGCTTGTTGAGATCACCTAGCAGTAGACACAGCACACTGTGCAGTGAGCTGAGTGGAATACTAGCTTCATTCAAAGAGCAGTAAAGCTCCAGTTTCAGGGGATAATTCTAATAAAAGCAGTGCGGCTTCCTACAGGGTCATGTGATGTATGTTTTAAGAAGATTTGGTAAAATCCAGGAGGAGTTTCCTATATTTTCCTGAGCATACCTGGCCTAAGCTCCCTGATCCATTCTAGTGCAGAAATAAGTCAAGAATATATAATACTATATGTCATCTCTGCCTGTGGTCATCTGGTCTCTGAAGTCAGAGGCCCCACATATCTGAGGGTGTGAGCTTATCTAAGTATTCTCATTCATTCGCTCTACTACACAAGAGCTCACCTCAGGTTTACTCTATGTAGCGTGACTAACCCACTTCCACCAGAGAACTCTCTAAGCACCTCATCTGCCCCGCAGACCAATGCAGTGTTTTCAGAGACAGCTTGTGTTCCCACTTCTCAAGGGAACACAGTTTTCAGTAAGTCATTTCAGTAAGTCTAAGTCAGCGGATTATATTGATGGTTTTCATTTGCATCAGAAAATTAGTTTCTACCCTTGCCCCTGACAGCTGATTTGAATTTCATCAGAACCAGCATTTTAGAGTTCAAAACGAAAGCTGCAAGCCTGAAGCTAGTCTTGAAAGTCATGTAGCACCGGGTACTGTAGCTCACCCCCGTAATCCTAGCATTCTAGGAGACCGAGGTGGGTGGATAAGCTTGAGCTCAGGAGTTCAAGACCAGGCTGAGCAACAGTGAGACCATGTCTCTACTAAAGATAGAAAAAATAGCAGAGTATGGTGGCACAAGCTACTCAGGAGGCTGAGGCAAGATGACTGCTCAAGTCCAAGAGTTTGAGGTTGCTCTGAGCTATGATATCACGGAATTCTTCCCAGGGCAACAGAGTGAGACTCTGTCTCAAATAATAATAATAATAATAATATAGGTGGGGCATGGTGGCTCACACCTATAATCCTAGTACTCTGGGAGGCCAAGGTTAGTGGATTGCCCTGAGCTCTGAAGTTCAAGACTAGCCTGAGCCAGAGTGAGACCCCATCTCTACAAAAAAACCCCAGGCATTGTGGCAGGC